TATTATGTCCTGATACATAGAACCATAGAACTCAAAGAGGGTGTACTTTCACGCGACTATACATCAAAGAAGAAAAACTCAAATGGATTACATATAAATATAGTTTAATTAAATATTAATCCTCTATATGTAATCATTTCCCCTTTCTGTGACATTAAAAATTACAGTTCTCCAGCACCTTTAAGAGAAACTGTGAAGCTCACTCAGGATTTTGTTTTGCTCCCCTGATCTAGAAATATTGACATATTTATTTATTCATTAAATCTATATCCTGAGAGATCTGTAAAACACACATCCAATATCTAAAGATATGTCCCTATACTGCAGTGTTCTACTTCATCTTGTGGCATGATTAAGATGCTAGACTTGGACTGAGGAGACCCAAGTTCATGCTTCCACTTGCTCACAAAGGTCACTGGCTGACTTTGGACCAGGATTCTCAGCCCAACCTACTTCACAAAACTGTAATTATAGGGATAAACGTAGAAGAGACCTCCACATATGCCACCTTGAGGTTTCTGGGGGAAAAAATGGGTTAAATGCACCAAATAAATAAGCACATACTTAAAAGGAGCTGAAAGGTTATCTATAGATACTTATTTTTTAGAACATGTGAAATTATTCTTCAAAAGTACTGGGCACGCTTTGGTTCTAGATCCAATGTAATTATTTTTAGAAATGTTTACATGGATTGCATTGCTGAGTAAGCATATGAAAGACCAATTTTCTCTTATATTGGTATCCCAGCAACAGTTATTTAACATATAAGAGAAAAAGAAAATAACCATATTGGATATTCTTGAAGTAATCTGTGGCTGTGTTCACAGATCATGCTAAGTATGATTAAATAAATAAACCACTTTTGGCTGGGATCACATGAAACGTTAAGCCATAAACCATGATTTACAAACCGCAGAGGTGGAATATCACTGAGTGCATACTGAGTCACAAGCTACATTTTGGTTATAGTGTTGTGGGAATTCATCTTTCATTCATTCATTCATTCATTTCCTTTGGAAGAGCAGAACTCGACTTTCTAATGTCAGAACACCTCCACCCCCAGAAAGCTAAAATGATGTTCTTTGGAAACTATAACCTTTTTTTTTTTAAGTTTTTTATTTTTTACAACAAACACAAACATACATAAACAAACA